CCTTACAGCCTTGTTCATGCGTGCACTCCCAGATGCTGGGACGCTAGCTGATGCATAGTAGCTGCTCAGTGAATACCGTCGAGGGGCGCCCGGCTGGCTCAGTCAGTAGGACGCACGACTCTTGATCTCAGGGCTGTGAGTTCAAGCCCCACATTGGGTGTAAAGCCTACTTAAAGAAAAGAAAAGAAGTACTTGTTGAATGAGCAGGTGGGTGGTTGAGGCCTTCGGGTTATAGGTTGACTTAGAATTTTAGCCTATTTTTGTTGGTAGAAACTCATGCTGTAAGGCCCAGGAAATGAATTGCAAAAGTTGCAAGAAGGTTTGTTCTGCTTCGAGGCTGTAGAAGAGTGTTTTTAATATACACGGTCTGTAGTTGTAAAGATCCTGCTGTGATTTGATACCCTGAGTCTCAGAGCCTGTGGCCCTGCAGTGCGTTCAGGACCTTCCTTATGCATAGAACAAGGCAGATAGATTGGGGCGCAACCCACAGATGTGTTTTCTTTGGCCCGCAACATGTTTTGAAATAAATGTAAATTAGTTGCCAGTGTTGAGGAATTAGAGGATTTTGCATCATGCATTTCAGCCATTCTCTGGACATCTCTAGGTCTGGTGCCGCTGGGCCTGCGCTCCTGAGTGTAGCACCCGGCCGGCTCTGCTTGGGGGCCATGTGGTTGGTTCCCACTGGGCCCACTTCCTCTGTGTTCTCTGGCTGGCCCAGCACAGGTAGTCATGGGAGGTGTGCCATCCTGGTGTGTTCAGAGTGACCGCCACCTTGTCCCGCACCGAGGCCCGTAATTACGTTTCCTTCCTGAAGGAAGAGGGTGGGGGTGCTTCCAAGGCCCTTACCCACAAACAGCTTCTTCCCCCTGGTGTCTCAGCTCTGTGAGCAGACTCGGCACCCCTGCCTTCTCTCCCCAGGGGAGCATGAGATCCCTGGGCTGAGGGGACCAGGGGGCAGCAGCGTGTGGTGACGGCGTTCTCCTCTGCACACCATACCCCATGGTGCCCTCACACACCCTGGCCTGGGTCCCCTGCCACTTCTTTCTCCCCAACAGTCAGGCCTCTCACTTTGTGCCTCCTGCCTGAGCCCACAGAGGAGGCTTCTGGGAAAGGATGACTCACGCACTCCCAGAATTTCGAGCGAGGGAGATGCTGGGAGAGCCGCTTGTCAGCCTCAGGCTGGACCAGAAATAGCCGTGATAATTTGCTCTGATCTTGCAGCCCTGATGCTGCGGTGTTCTGCTTGGGTAAATAGATGCAGCCCTTCTGACTGCTTGAAACTGTTTCAAGATACAGAAATTTGTTTCCTTTTCGCTCCGAATATTTTATTTATTGCAAACTGTATCATTATGATCAAGCACAAAATCAAAAGGAGAAATGACCTCAGTGCCAGGACTATAATACACTTCTGTCTTCTTTTCCAGCCCTTCTTGTGCATATGCTTTATTATTATCATTATAAGAAAATTAAGGGGCGCCTGGGTGGCTCAGTCATTAAGCATCTGCCTTTGGCTCAGGTCATGATCCCAGGGTCCTGGGATCGAGCTCCGCATTGGGCTACCTGCTCAGTGGGAAGCCTTCTTCTCCCTTTCCCACTCGCCCTGCTTGTGTTCCCTGTCTCGCTGTCTCGCTGTCAAATAAATAAATAAAATCTTAAAAGAAAATTAAAATTCACGCACTCCAGCATTCCCAGCCCCCAGACAAAAGGACAGCATGCCGTGGGATTCAGTAAATACTCGTTGACTGTGGATTATTTTGTTTACTTAGCTATAAAGTGAACATCATTCACTGATGTTCTGATTGTTTACATCTGCATCATTCACTGATTACTATTGCATCAAGTTGTTAGAATTTATTTGCCATTTTCCTGTATTTAGATTTTTTTCCTCCAATTTATCAGGATTAGAAATACTGTTGCAAGGAGCATTTTCTTTTCCACGTAACTGGTTTTGAGTGTTTTAAATTATTTTCTTGGGATAAATTTCAAGCATTTGAATCCTGGATCAGAGGATAAAAAAATAAAAATTATAGAAAATAGTTTCTAGGGGTACCTGGCTGGCTCAGTTGGAAGAGCATGCAACTCTTGCTCTCTGGGGTCGTGAGTTCGAGTCCCACCGTAGGTGTGGAGAATATATACATACGTACATACATACATACAAAAACAAACAAACAAACACACTTTCTAGAGTCTTATTTATCCCTATTGCCAGGATTGCTTGAGAATATTAACTTTACCATGGACCTCATCAGCATTTAGATTGCATTTTAAAGTTTTGCTGATTTAGTAGTATAAGATGGTACCTAATTGTTTTAATTTGCCTATCTACATGTGTGGTTATCAGCGTAGGTTGAAGAATTGTCTAAGCATTTAATAAGAGTATTTCTTCTTATGTGATTTGTCTGTTTGAGTCGTTTGTATTCCTTATTAAAACACAGAGTTTTCTGTTGGATTTGGGTAAATTTATAATACGGATATTTTTGACCCAACTTTCCTACCATAGCGACTGCGAACATCTTCCTAGTGTGTGATTTTCCATTTTTAACACCCAGTGTGTGGTCACAGGTGTGATTTTCTGTGCTTTGGAGAGTCTGAGAATGTGGTGGCCAGAAGGACCTTAGAATTCGAGCCCGACCACAGTGTCTCAGACGGGGAAACTGTGGCCCAGGGAGCGGAGGCCCCGGGTGCAGGTGGTGGGAGGGGGGCCAGGGCTGACCCAGCCTCAGACCGCCACTTCTCAATCTCCGCCTGTCTGCGTGGTGGTGCTATCTCCTGAGCTCCTAAAAACCCCATGTCGCTCTCCTGGGCCAGACGGTTCTGTTGAGGGGAGGTTTATGCTTCTCCTCTTTGAGCCCAGGCAAGCTCCGTAGGACTGTCCGGAAAGGGTACCCTCGCCACTCCAGCAACAAGGAGCCAGCCGTTCCATCTTTCTGACTCAGGGCATTTAAAAATGTCCTGAGCTGGGGAATTTAGAGGAACCTATGATCGATTTGTGAGCATTAAGCTCTTAACCGGCAGCAAAGACAGTGTAATATCGAATTACCCACAGAAGATGCATCGGTGCCTCAGCATTGGCAGCCACCTGTCTGCTGGGGGTTGTCCTACATATTCGGGGTCTGCAGAGGGTGAGGACAGGGACAGGCCCAATCTGGAGGCTGCCCTTGCCTGGAGGAGCTGATGCATCAGGAGGGCTCTTGCTTCATGCTGAGCTGTGTGCCGCTCACCACCGGGGAAGGTGGGTCCCAGACCTGGTAGGCGACTCCCCAACTGGCAGTCAGGAAACCCGGTTTAGACTTGAAGATTTTCGCCCCAGCTCTCTTGCTGTGCCGCCTGCATCCTGGCCCCCACCCCAGCTCTTCGAGTACATTCATGGGCAGCCCTGTCCATCCAGTCGCAGTCACAGCAGACCTTTCCTCAGTCCAGACTGCTCTAGATAGTCAGTTGCTACAGAGGTGCTTATATTGTAGTGGGATGAGCAGAAATAGTAGTATCTGTCCGTCAAACAAGCAGAATTTTAAAATGGGGGTAAATAAAATGCTGGAGGTACACAGAGGCACAAGGGAATAGTTTTGACTCGGGGTGGAGTGAGCTGCTCAGAAGAGGTGTCACCATGTCCGCCTGGGGGATGAACAGCATCTGGGCAGGGTGAGGCAGGAAGAAGGGATGGACTGGGGAAGGGAGAGGGCAGAAGGAACAGGCACCTCGAGACGCATGCCCTCATCCAGGTGTCCTTAGCCAGAGTGCAGGGAGAGGGCAGGACGGAGAGGCTGGGTCTGGGCAGCAAATGAGGCTCAGAAGCTGGTGGAGGGCTGGTGAGTGATATGAAAAGGGGCATCTGTCTGGCAGCCTGGGAAGGTTCTGGGCCTCTGGAAGAGTCCTCAGATAGGAGCCCAGGAAGGAAGAGATGCCAGCCCAGGAGGGGAGGGGCCCATGTGCTTAGCAGATGCAGCTTTTCCCAACGTGCCAGACGACACCATCTCCCATAGCCATGATGCTAACAGCAGTGATTGGGCAGATGTGTCCCTGGGGATTTTCTGATTCTCATTCTAGCCTGGGGTCGGCCTTTTTATTTACTGGCATCAGTCTGGTAGGCCAAAGCAGGGAGAGGGCAGGCAGGTGCAGTGGCTTTGAAGTCTGTGTAGTTTGGAGAAGTCCTGATCGTTGGTGTTTATGTGTTTATTATTTCAACAAATAGTTATTGTGTGCCTACCACACACCAGGTGTTTAGCAGTAGACAGTAGGGAAATGATGTCCACGTAGGGATGACCCAGATTCTACAAGTTTGGAGCCTATTCTCTTTTCGGGGAATTTGTGGCCTCATTCGTTCATTTAAGTCTGGATTTTCAGTGCTGAATTCCCCTTACGCAGAGAGTAGCTCTCGTGGTGATAACGTTTCCGTGTCTTCCGTTCTAGATGCCTTAGGGTCACGAGCGCTGCCCCTGAGGACTCCTGGTGGCCAGCAGCTCCGAAGCCACTCAGGCGCTTGGCCTCCAGCTCCTACTGACACATCCGGGCATCCTGTCTGCTGGCCTTCCAGCCTGGAAGCCTACCCGAACCATGGAGGCCCCTGAGGTCCCCGTGGGAGCGCTGATTGACTTCGGGACTGAGCCGTCCCCCTCCTCGCCCCTAGAGACACTGCCTCCGAAGCTGCGGGATGGGGACAGCTCCCAGGGCGACGGTGCTTCGGAGAGCGAGACCACAGAGTCTGCGGACAGCGAGAATGACATGGGCGAGTCGCCCTCACACCCGTCCTGGGACCAGTACCGCCGCTCCTCCTCCAACGAGTCCTTCTCTTCCAACCAGAGCACCGAGTCAGCCAAGGACGAGGAGACCCTGGAGTTCCGGGAGTTCATGCGCAGCTACGTGGAGAAGATCTTCTCTGGAGGGTGAGCCCCCGGGACCTGCTCTCTGCCCCAGGCTCTGTCCTTGACAGGGCACCCATTGGGGCCCGGGCTTTCGCTCCCTCATGGGCCAATGGTGGGCTACCTGGGTGGTTCTCAACCCCCACCCCCGGCTGCAGGTAGAAGCGTTTGGGGAGTTTTCACTGCCTCTTCCATCCCACCGCCGGCTCCAGCCACTCCGCTGACATGCTCACGTCCTCACTGCTCAATCCAGAAGGACTCTAGGTTTGCTTCCCCGTGTCTGAGCCCTTGCAGGTTAGCGTCAGACTCACACTGGCCTAGGGCGCCTCCGCGACTAGCAGACTCTCAATGCAGGGCAGTACGGTCCAGAAGGTTTTGATTACCCGTACTCCTTGAGATGCTCATGGCAGCTGAGCCTCAAGCCCCTGCCAGGATGGGGACCCTTCCTTGCTCCTCCTTCTTGCCTTTCTTTGATGGTTCTTGAAGGGGTAAACAGGAGCCCTGGCAACTGGAGCAGCAGGGAGCGGAGTTTGGGTTGGGATCAGACTGAGGAGGGGGTGTCTGTGGGTACGCCTCCAGCTCCCCCACCCACTCTTGTTAATATCTCAGCATGGGGGTAGGGAGCCCACAAGCCCAAATTCCTGGGTTTCGGATGTCAGCCTTGCCCTGCATCCCCACCACACGCTAGTCACTGAAGGCCTTGCTGCTCATTTGCTGGACGTGGACCCACAGCATCCGCATTATGGGAGCTTGCTAGAAATGCAGAGTGTTGGGCCCCACCCAGACCTGCCAAGACTGACTCTGCATTTCAAGAAAACCTCTGGACTCTCTGTTGCACACACTGCAGTCCGAGGAGCTCAGGGACTGAAGGGATCATTTTCCCATTTTATTAAAGCAATAGGAAGAATCTCTGCCTGTTGATTCTGTGTAAAAAGGATATTATTCCCTACTGTGATTAAGGTCCCTTGTTCGTAACCTGGCGAGGTGGGATGTCTGCCTTTTCCAGGCGTGTGTCCGTTTTCTTTGCAGTTAGAACAGGGAAGAGAGCTCAGTGATAATCCAAATATTGGACGATCCAAAAAAGCATTCATGTTTGATTTTGAATGCATTCTGAGAGAACAAGTAGATGTGGTGCCCTCCTAATTTTGTTTGACTAACACTGGAATTAGTCAGCTTTCTTGGAGCACACCCAGTTAATGAAAGAGGAGAAAGCACAGAAGCTTGCTAATTTGTCAGGAAGGACAATCTATATTTGCGGCAGCCTGTCAGCAATATGGAACATGGACAACTGAGCCGGATGCATTTTCAAGAGCATTCCAGAAATCACTGAAGACTGGCTGGCGAATTCCCCTATTTCATCTGGTGTTGGTATTTTGGGATAAATCAGACCAAGATGTTTTCTACCAAACCTTAAATAAATGAAAAATTACATGAGCTAATTGATCTTCAGCCTTCTGTTTCTTTTTTATCTGGTCTTTAAATCTGGGGGCAGAGTATTAGCCTCCCACAATGAGTGATCAGAGGTGGTTCGAGGTCAGGTGAGCATTCTGTTCACCCTGGCCGTGGTGACCCCCCTGGGGTCCCCCAGTCTCCGTCCCTCACATACATAGCCAGGATCGTCAGAGAGGTGAGTAGCTGGCTCTTCAGAACAACCAACCAGTCTAACCTTGCAGCCAGCCAGTGTGTCCTGTGCATGAGGGATTCTTGAACTCACTGTGTGGTTCTTTGCTGACTTAGCACCAGTGAGTGGGAAGGCGGTGGAACTTGAGGACCAGGCCCTCAGAGGGTCACATTACCCTTGTCAGCACCCCTGTTTCACTGGAGGCAGGACGTGGGGGACGGAGCCTGGGCTTTGGAGCCCGGAAGTCTGGATGGAGCTCCCATTCACTACTCAGCTGTGTCTGATCCTCTGAGCCAGTCTCCTCATCTTTGAGATAGAAATGCCCCCATTTCCTTGTGGGCCCAACCGAGGATGGGATGTGCCCATGTAAGTCAGGTGTCCATGCTTGGCTGGGGGGCCATATGTCTCCATTCCCTCTCCTGCCTCTTGCCCGCTCTGGCCGTCTTTGTTGTAGAGGGCTGAAAGTTGCTTTTCCTGCTCTGTTCCTTCCAGGGAGGACTTGGACCAGGAGGAGAAAGCCAAGTTTGGAGAGTACTGTAGCAGTGAGAACGGAAAGGGCCGCGAGTGGTTTGCTCGATACGTGAGTGCCCAGGTGAGGGGACAGCGACGGGAGGTAATGGTGGTGGGGCCCCTTCTCATCGGCTCTCCTGCTCCCGCTCTGGAGAAAAGCCACAGGAAACAACCCAACAGAGAAATTAGTAGAACTTACTTAAAGATGTTCCCAAAAGGCCTCGTTAGAATAGCGGGAAGCGGGAAGTCACTCATCCAGATGCCCCGCTAGAAAGAATGAGCGAGCAAACTGGTCTTTCAACTGCGTGCAGTTACAGAAAAGTTCCTTTTTTAAGGGCAAGCATGTGGACGATGTCCACGCATAGTTTTGTTCAATAACCCGCAATATTCAGTTTTACAAAGATAATGTAGGGCAGTAACAGCCACGCGAGTTCAGAAAATAATTATTTTTTGTCAATACCTAGTAGGGTCTTTTTGTTTTTTTCTGTAAAGTGGCTTAAACTCTTGGTTTTTTTTTTTTTTTTTAAGATTTTATTTATATATTTGAGACAGAGAGAATGAGAGACAGAGCATGAGACGGGGGAGGGTCAGAGGGAGAAGCAGACTCCCCGCTGAGCAGGGAGCCCGATGCGGGACTCGATCCAGGGACTCCAGGATCATGACCTGAGCCGAAGGCAGCCGCCCAACCAACTGAGCCATCCAGGCGCCCAACTCTTGGTTTTTTAAAAGTATTTTGATCACAATTTATTTTTCCAAGAGAAATTAGAAAATGCAGATCAGCACAAATAGAGAAATGGCCCATACCTCTACAATCCAGAAATGGCCCGTGTTGTCTTCTGGGGGTTTCATCCCTCCACACTGTTCTGTGTTGTATGGGGGAGTTTGTGGGGTTCCTAGTTCTTAAAATTTCAAGGAGACACAGGAAAATGTTGGCTTGTGCTCTGCTCGGGGGCCCGGCTGCTCCTGTCCCGGGCTCGCGGCCCCCCTGTGTCTAGCGGTGCTCAGCGTGGTGAGCCCAGCGCCTGTCTGAGCTGCACCACGCCTCCGCCGCCTGCTCGCCCAGTGACATGTCTGCCCTGTTCCCACACAGCGCTGCAACTCCAAGTGTGTCTCGGAGCCGACCTTCTACCGCCTGGTGCAGTCTTTCGCCGTGGTCCTGTTCGAGTAAGTGATGCTGTAGCTCAAAGCCTTTGTCCTAGAGCACGTGTTCCCCACCCCTCCTGCCCCGTACTAACCCAGTCGTAACAGCCGTGCGAGTCATCAGCGGGCGCTTGCTCTGAACACCACCCCCCGCCCAGCATCCGCCGAGAGGCAGCATTGTACCAGCCTCTCTTGGGAGGGAGTTAGGGTCTTCCCCCGGCAGTGGGGGTTAGGGACAGCAGCTGGGCATGAGTAAATCCCTCCATGAGTGCTGTCAGGACAGGCGGGGATGACACGCAGTTGACCCTGCCCTCCTGCTGCGGAGATGTGGCCTTTTCTGGATTTCTTGTTGTGAAGTACCTCCAACTAGATAACCACCCACTTAATGATGTGATCGGATGATTTCAGCCTGCCCCGCGTGCTAATTAGGCCCTGCTGCAACCTTTTATCACAAACAGCACAGTAGAAGCTGGAGGGTGATGAAAAGGGCCCCTCTCTGCATCTGTGTAGCTGCGGGAGGCGGGCCATGTGACTCACAGGCTCTCTCCTCCTGAGGCCCCAGGGCCCTGGGACGGCCACACTCACGTCATACATCTTGGACCTGCATCAGAGCAGGTGACGGCCCCCCACCAGCAGGAAAGGAGGGGATGTGTCTGCCTTGGGGAAGCAGACAGCAGTTTTACTGATGGGGGAGGGGGTCACTGTGGATGAGAAATGGGAAAGGACGGGGAAGAGGAAGCCCTGATCTGACTGTTGTTTCTGCCCTACTTACCCTCGTCCCCTCATTCTGGCCCCGAAGCAGGTCCTGGTCCCGTGGTTTGTCCCCATGTCCCTTTTGTCCTTCCAGGCCTGAAAACCTCCTCCTTTACTTTCCCTTCCCCTTTTCCTCCCAGCAGAGACATAGCTGCTCTTGGGAACCTTAATTCCCTGTGTCTTGATGTCTCCTCACCTCTTTATTCCCCTCGCCATGAACATGGAGCATGGGCTGGAGGGAAAAGACCAGAAAGTGGAGGATCCCTATTTTTCTGGCACCTGCTTGGAATGTCCCAAGTTGAGGATAGGCTCCCATGGGGGGATTCTGGGTCTCGGAGCTGGCAAGGGTGGAGGGACGAGAAAGCATCACGGAAGGAGCGGGTTTCAAACAGGCCCAGTTGTCTTGTGTGCAGCATGCTCTCAGGCACTGAGAACACCTCAGCTTCTGAACATTCCCACCCATAGGATTTCTCACGAATCCATATTGTGCAGAGAAGGCACCTGTCCCACTTGGTAACACGTATTTAATTCTGCACTGACTTTGAATTTTTCCTTCAATAAAAAGGGGGGGGAATAAAATTCAAATTCCAACCCAACCAAAACACAGAATCTCCCCATTTCTCGGTGAGCATATGTATTTCTGTATGGTTGGGGGGAAAAAAGGGAAAAAACCTCATAATCTTTTTAAAATATGTATTAATTTTTAAAATTTGAGTTTCATAATTTTTAGTTTATTAGTGTCTTATGTTTTTACTTTTATTTCTAGTCCTTTATGATTTTTTTGGCAGAGTTTAGTTCTTTAAGTTTTTTGTTTTTTTTTAAAGATTGTATTTATTTACTTGAGAGAGAGAGGAGAGACAGAGAGCACGAGAGGTGGGGAGCGGTGGGCAGAGGGAGAAACAGGCTCCTTGCTGAGCAGGGAGCCCGACATGGGGCTCCATCCCAGGACTCTGGGATCGTGACCTGAGCCGAAGGCAGACGCTTAACCAACTGAGTCACCCCTGATTAGATTATTTTTATATTCAAAGATAAAACTGGCCCTGACCCCACTGTCTAGATACATTCCATTGACTTTTCTTAAGTAGTACCTGTGCAAGGTTAGAAACTAAACAGGAAAGAAAAGTACAAAAGAACAGGGTAGAGAAGCACAGTGCCTCAAATGGAAAGGAAACCCTTTTTCACAGCCCTGTCCTCGCTCCTGTGGTCCTCCTCCCAGCAATAATCCCTGTTGATGACATGCATCCCAGCGAATATATATCTTTCTGAAAAAGATAACCAATTGGGGATTCTTTTTTGTTGCTTCTATGTAGCATCTGGGGAGTGAGATATTAATGTGGACATATTTATAAAATTTTTAGGTCTTGCTTCAGGAGCTTGCAGTGAGAAAATTGGGTAGGACAATTCTTTAGCTAGTCGGCCTTCCTTGTCATTTTAGGTGTCATCAGATGGACGACTTCGGGCCTGCCAAGAACCTCATGACCATGTGCTTCACCTACTACCACATCGGTAAGGCCCAGGGACGCAGCCACTGTGGAGGGCAAACATGGAAACTCAAGACTTGTCACCTTGTAACGTGGCATCAAGTGAGGATTTCTTTCCCATTAGCAGCAAAGTTGTGAGGCTTCCAGAATACAATAGAACCTGAGGTTAGGATGGGGTGCACAAGGAGTGAGATTCCTGAAACAGGAGGAGACGCACGGTCCATATCATGGGTCATGAGGCTGCCTATCCACGGTAGGAAGGAAGCCACCCAGCAGCTGGGAGATGAGAGAATAAGTTCATTTGGTGGGAAATTTCATGGTCGACTCAGGAATTGCTGGATGTGAGGACATCGCTTTCACGTTTTAGCAAAATACGCATGGGGTTGGCTCTGGAAGAGAGTGGGAGGAGCAATATAGGGTCTTGGGGTGGAAAGCGTCCCTGGGTGTGGGCTGGTGATGCCCTCATGACGAGTGCAGATTGTTCTTCATCCTGACATCTGACAGCTCTTCTGGCTCATTGCTCTTTAACTTTCTGGTAATCGGAGCTTGAGGTCCCCCTGTGTGAAGTTCCTTGGGTTTGATGGCAGGGATTCATTCAGGCCGCTGCAAGCAGAAGGCTGCTAGGGGCCCGCACTAGAGCCAAGTCAGGGCGACAGTAAGCACGGCCTCTCTTCCCACCTCTCTCAGGATGCACGGTTTTGCTCTTGTGTTGAAACCCCGCGTCCTCTGCAGCTTGACTCTGTCCTCCCCCAGCTCCCACTGCCCATCCTCCCTGTGCCTCAGTTCTGCTGGCGACAGCTGGCTGGAGTGCCTTAGCTCCAGGCCAGGCCACCACTGGGAGGGTCCTTCATGCCAAACCTTTGGGTCAAATGGGAACCCCTCAATCAAACCGTGGCTCCTCCTCAAAGGAGTGGGAGTCACCTCTGTGCACAGAGCAGCTCAGATTAGTAGGGGACACTTAGCACCTTGACCTATAGGGGGCCCTTTGACCTGCAAGGCTCTGAACGGTAGGTATCTTTTTTTTTTTTTTTTAAGATTTCTTAAAGGTTTTATTTATTTGAGAGTGTAAGCGAGAGAGAGCACGAACAGGGGGAGGGTCAGAGGGAGAAGCAGACTCCCCGCTGAGCAGGGAGCCCAACGCAGGGCTCAGTCCCAGGGCCCTGGGATCATGACCTGAGCCAAAGGCAGATGCTTAGCCGACTGAGCCACCCAGGCGCCCAAAGAGGGTATCTTTGACCTGAGGTAGGGTCTTGATCTGCAGGGGTACCTTAACTTGAAGGAGACTCTGACCTGAAGGAGACCCTTTGGCCCGCAGGGTGCACCTTGGTCTGTGGGAGACCTTTGGCCTTACTGTTCTCTCCTGGGATGCCCACTCCCGCCTCATCCAGTTTTAGGCCCACAGCAGGGGCGCGGAGCCTGTCTGGAGTTGGCATGCCTCCTCCTGGGACAGGGAGAGGCTCTTGGTCCCCTTGTAACCCTTGGCCTCCAACACCATGGTGTAGCTCTGTGTGTACATTGCTCCCCTCCTCTAGGTCCTTGAGCTTCTTTAGGGCTGGGTCCTCTCCTGTTTCTTCTTTGGTCCAGGTGCACCTGGCTGCCTTCCTGTACACAGTAGGTGCTTAGCTGTGGCCCCCAGAGGCCCGGCCCTCCACCTTCCCCTGGTGGCTTCTTGGGGCCTTTGCTGGTCGCCACTGCCACCCAGAGGCTCCGGCGCCCTGTTGTTCCTGCTACACAGCGAGGTTCCATTCTTGCTCCCTCCCGCCTCTCCCCACCTCCAGGTAAGCCGCACCTGCTGCCTTCCGAGTCCAAGGAGAAGCCCGCGGGGAGCATCGACTCCTACCTGAAATCCGCCAACAGCTGGCTGGCAGAGAAGAAGGACATCGCTGAGCGGCTGCTGAAGAACACATCGGCCAAGACAGAGAACGTCAAGGGCTTCTTTGGGGGGCTGGAGACCAAGCTGAAGGGACCCCTCGCCAGGAAACCCGAGTAAGTGTCACCAGGTGGACTGTGGGGGGAGGGGCAGATGTGGCCGAAGGCAGAGGCCATGTTCCGCCTGCCAGTGGCGGTGACAGGGAGGCCATGGCCTGGCCGTGAAGGAGTCCACTTGGCCGCCCTGGGTGACCTTAGGGGCCCGCGAGCAGCTCCTGAGAAGCACAGCTTGACCCTCCACCCCCCAGAGTTTTCTGTGGTTCGCACATGCCTTTGGGTTGGCTGACAGGCAGCAATGTCCTGGGGCTCGGGGTTTGTTTGGGGAGCATGTGGAAACTGCCGGAAGGCAGCAGGGTAATTACAAATCCTCCCTGGCCCTTCCTCCTGGAAGTGTGGTGAGAGCGCATGTGAAGGGAACCACGTAGGCAGGGGACAGACCCCTGTTCCCCAGGACAGCCGTTCTGCAGCGGGAGCTCAGGAGCCTGCCGGGACCAGGTGCTTGAGAATGCAGTGTTGAAGCCAAGACCTCCCAAGAAAGGGGGCACGTCAGCAAGAGAGTACCCTGGGCTCCCCGAAGTCCCCAGTGTCCCCTCCAATGGCCGGTTACAGCCAGGTGACTTGGCTTTGTTCCTCGTCTGGTCCAGGCAGTTTTGGATTCAGAGAAAATGGTGCAAAGGAGCCTCCATGCCGCATCTCCTTAATTCTGGAAGATCGGCAATTGGGAAACATTGCACTGACTTAACACTTTTGTAGAGGAAACCACATGCAATGTAGCCATTGATAAGAGACGTAATCCTTCAGCCAGGTTAGACTGCTTCTCTTGAGCTGAGAAAATGGGGGGGGATTGTTTTGTCACTGCTGTGGTTCTCTCCCCCAGGGAGGAAGAGAACAAGCCCAAGGAGAAGCCGCAGAAGACTGGTGAGTGCCTCCCAGTGCTCTCCAGGCCCAGCGGATGTCCGGCTGTGGACACACAGAGCCCCTGGTCCCAGAGCCAGGCCCCACAGGGTCTTCGACCGGCCCTGCCGGTAACCGGTAGCACCACCAAGTAGGCCCCTGAACCTCTGGGCCCCTCCCGCCGGGGCACGAGATGCTGCCATTGATGACTCCCGACTTCCGTCCACCCTGGCCTGGACTTGCCTAGTGAATTTCGGGGGGAAACCTCTTCTCTGGGGAGAGGATTCAGGAACCAAATTCCACGTCTCAGGGAAGTGAAGGAATGTATTGCTGGGGGTGGGGGAGCCGTGCCAGGGACCCTTCCCTCAGAAGGAATTCCCGAGGCCAAGGTGGCAGGATTGTCCTTCCCAGCCACGGGTGGCAGGCAAGTGATCTTGGAATTTCCACTGCATGTTTCCGTGACCTTTGGGGAGAGGCGGTGCCGGCCGGGAGGGTCGCTGAGGGGTTTGCCAACATGTGGGGGCACCCAGGGCCACGGGCAGTCTTTCTTGCCCTCCTGCAGTGACCGTGTGCAGCCCGGAGGAAGAAAGGAAGGGGGAGAAGATCTACCTGTACACACACCTGAAGCAGCAGCCCATCTGGTAAGGCCACTCCCCAACCTGTGGGGCCGCGCCCCCAGCCCCGGCGGCTCCCTCAGCGACAGAGCTCGCCCCGCCCTCCAGGGTGGCCAGAATAAAGAAGGGGAACCATGGCAGGTGTGGGTGAGGATGTGGAGAAACTGGAGCCCTCATACCCTGCCGGTGGGGATGGAAAGGGGACAGCAGCCGTACAAAACAGTCTGGCAGCTCCCCAGCATGTTAGCGGAGAGGGAGCCCGTGGCCCAGCAGCTCCGCTCCTAGCCAGGTGCTCAAGAGAACAGAGGACAAGCAAGACTCATGCACATAGGCTCCTAATAGCCCAAAGCTGGAAAGAACCCGGATGTCCACAGACATGGACACGTGATGTGTGGATACGCAAAACACGATATATCCCTACCGCACGGTTTTCTTCAGACATGGGAGCGAGTGAGATGCTGACAGTTGAGACGCCGGTGAACCTGGAAAACATTTTGCAGAATGAAAAGGCCAGACACGAAAGGCCCCATGGTGGATGATGCCATTTATATGAAACGTTCAGGATAGGCTAGTCCCTGGAGACGGAGTAGCTGAGCAGTTGCCCGGGACTGAGGGAAGCAGGGGATGCGGAGGGACTGTTCACGGGTACGGGGTTTCCTTACGGGGCGGATGAAGAGGTTCTGGAGGGAGATAGTGGTCATGGTTGTACAACTCTGAATATACTAAAAACCACTGAATCGTGTACTTTAAAAGACTGAGTTTATGGTACGCGAGTTATATCCCAATGAAGCTATTTTATGTGAACGTCTAGGAATGAAGGTCATGAATAAAGTGAGAGGCCGGCGGTCGGGGGAGCCCTTGCCCTCTGTGTCCCTCTGTGGATGACGGTTTGGGCTGCCTTTGTCCTGCTGAAGCCTCTCCATCGCCGTGCCGTATTCACCCATAAGTAGGCAGAGAGCCAATCCCCTGGGGCCCAAAGGGTGTCAGACGTGCCCCTCCCTCGAAGGCCACAGTGGCGTAGTTGGCTGACCCCTGATCTTTAAGAACGTCTCTTACTTGTGTGTCCCTATGAACATGTTTGTTCTCTGCACGCGGTCTGTCCGCGCCGGGTTCCCGATTATGTTACTAGACCCAGTTCTCTGGCAGCAGGTGTCCCCAGACCCCCGGCTTCCTCTAGGAGGCCCAGCGGGGGTGGAGAAGCGGAAGACGGCCTTCATGTCCCGAAGATGGTGGCTTCAGTTTTGACCAGATGGAGGCGGGATTTACCCTCCTCTGTGTTGTACCTTCATCCTGGGAGAGATGTGACCCTCGGCCGGGAGCCCAGGGAGCCGCCTCGGTTTGGGACAAAGGCACATGGTCATTTTTCTGTTCCCTGCTCTGCCTCTCTGTGACTTGTCAGAAGGTCCTGCAGATGTGGTGGGAAACGGTGCGCCTTTATCCCTCCTGTGCCGAGACCTGCCTCCCTGGAGAGGACTGACAGACGCCTCTGTCTTACAGGCACACGCTGAGGTTCTGGAACGCGGCTTTCTTTGACGCCGTCCACTCTGAGAGGAGAAAGCGGTCTCCCACCACCAGGTAGGAGCAGCGTCTGGGCCTGCCTTGCCTTGGGGCAGAGGACCGGGGACTGGCTTTATTGTCTGGTTTCTGCAGAGGAGAACAGAAGGACGGCTGAGTCGGTGCATCCGTCTCTTCTTCAGCCCCTTCTGGCCCCGGTGCCCGGCGAGCTGCCTGGAGGGTCCCGGGCACGCACAGCTTCGTGGCTGGCGGGGGGGTGTCCTCAGCTTGCATGAGCGCTTTCTGTCCTGGGCTCTGGCATGACTTGGCCTGACCCTCCTCCAAAGCGCACACTCCCCCAGAATGCAACCATCAGGACCCCCAAAGATCCACCCCTCTGCCTTCCACTGTAGGAACCACCACAGGACTCTGGGGCGCAGGGCCGGCCGCCCCCGCAGACTCAGCTCGAGAGAGCTGACGTCTGGGGAGATGCGACTGCTGCCTTCAGCTTAGTGCTCTGGTCTGCAGCCTGAGAGCCTCCCAGGCTCCCTGAGCTAGTCTTGCCACATCAGAAGACCCCCTTTGTAAACCATCACACACAGCACAGGGCGGCAGCGAGGGCTGGTGGTCCTTCACGCTCTGTGCCCGCCGTGTCTAGCGGCTGGGCAGGAAAGGGCAGCAGCCCTCCCAGTCCTGGGTCCCCTTACTGGCAACCTCCCGCCAGTCATGAACCTCTCCTTCTCTAATGGGGAGACCCCCTCACCCTTCCTCCCTGGCAGGGGACAGCCGGGGCCTGCTGTGTATGGCCGGTGCACTATCGCGGGGGGGTCTGAGGTGCGGTCTTTCTGTCTGGGGGGGCAGCTACAGCCTGGTGGGGCGGGACGGCCTGCAGGCCGCTGCAGCTGCATCTCCTGAGGGAGGCAGAGGGAGCACGCGGAGGGGAAGCTGCTGAAGCCATCCCGCGGGGTCTAGAGGGAGAATCCCACGCTCTGCCAGGAAACCAGACTGAAGGAAGCGCTTAGATGCTTGTAGGTGAACGGGGTTTCCTGCTGCTTATGTAGCTGTCGGGCTCCTAGCAGATCAAGGGTCTCGAGTACCCCGTCTCTCTCCGTCTCTCTGTTTCTGCCTGTAATAACGCTCCTCTCTCGCTGTTCTCTTTTTTCCATCCACATATCTTGCATGACTTTGACATGTTCCTCTGTTTACCTGTTTCTGCTGCCGCTCCAGAGGGGATGCTGGAGAGGAGGAGAAGAAGAGGTGTGTGTCCACGTGACTTTGTTCATGTTACAGGGCCGGGGGTCCCCGCCAGGGCCACCTCAGGGCGGGAGCCGCGCGCTAGCTGCTGCAGGGGGCAGAGCCCAGGCACAGGGGCAGCCCGGTACCACTGCCAGGACAGGCCGGTGGCGGGTGGGGGCTCGCCAAGGACAGAGCACCAGGAACAGGAAACAGAGAGGGCACTCGAGACCCTGCAAGGCCCAGGGTGAGTTCAGAGAGTGAGCAGCCAAGTCCGATTTTGAGCGGCTCCAGCCTTCTGGCACTCCAGCCCCTCCTGAGCAGGCCTCGAACCCACCCCCTTGACTTCACGCTTGGTAATCTGGTCACGGCACAAAGCCGTGGGGGGCACAGAGGCTCTTCCTCTCTGCAGCCAGGCTCAGAGGTGTGCAGGGGTCTGGCAGACCATCCCCCGCCCCTGGGACAGGCTCGGGGGATCAGGGAGGAAGGATGGCTGCCCCCTCCTTGCCAGCCATATCGTGGTGAGGAGCCTGTGTGTGTGTGTGAGGGGGTCCTCTGAAGAGAAGGTCCTAGAACAGGGCTCTTTTCTTCGAGCCCCCAGTGGGGTCTCTCATCGTTTGACCTTTGTATTCGTTAGATACCTTTTTAATATATTTTTGGAGCGAAAGGCCTGCCGATTCAAAATAGTTTCTGATACAATGATTGTTTCTTCTCAGGACATTTCCCAAAGCACACTTCCTTTAATCAGTAATATATTTTTAGTGCTTATTGTTTATGAGAAATCTTGCTTCTTATGCAGCCTTATTATGGCTATAAAAGGAACACTTAGGCATAATGGACACCCCCTTTACTACAAAGCCCCTGCGTCTCCACAGTCTCTCTGGGTGGGAGCATGACTCACCGCGGCCTCCCAGGGACCCAGTTGCTTAGCAGCGCGGCTGAGGCCTAGGAGAGCTAGAGCACCGCGGCCGCCTCCAAGCCCATGGAGGGAGTGCCAGCCTCTGGGCCTCACGGGCCTCACGGGCCTCACGGGCCCTGTTCCCCAGAGCAGACGTGGTCTGACCCACATGCCCCGGGCCTCAGCCGGAAGAAGGGCAAATGTTCCTCCGAGATTGGGGTGGGAGGGTGGGCTCTGGGTCCCTGGGCAACCTCTTGCCTCCAGCATCATATCTCCTCTTCGGGAAACTCGGCTGATGATACTCAGAGGCAGAAAGGCCTCCATTTCCAAAGGCGTCTATTGCTCACATCCAAATTACCACTGTGGCAGTTTAGACACATGCCCTGCCCTCTGTGTGGGATTAGACCTCGACTGGTATTGGATATTGATCTCAGTTTTAAGGAATTGATTGGATTGCAGGCAGCACCTGACCCGCTGAGTGCTAACGACCTTCCACCTCTTTCTTCAGAGGTCAGATTAAATGCCCCACCTCTAGTCCTAGCCATGGCAAAAAGTATCTCCTTCTCATCCGGGTCAGGAGGGTTAGGGCCGCCGGGTCACTCCCACATGGTGTGGGGTTGTGCATTGCACAACTGTACACAGCAGACCTGATGGTGGTTTGGGATTTATGTGCCTGGACCACCCTAAGGGTAACCATTGGGAGAAAGAGGGTGGGAAGCAAAATGGGATGGGATTAGCATCATGCCTGGAAGCACGTTCTGGGTATCTTCATGGGCGTCCTGTCCTCCGCGTGAGGAGGCTGGGAGTGACACCTGCCCCCGGCGTCCTGTGGCCTCCTGCTAAGCCACAGCAGCTCCTGTGGCCCTGGGCCCGGCAGGTGGAAAGCAGTTAAGGTTTGATGTTGGGTCTTTTTCTCTTCCTTTGGCTTCTCCATTATCCCCACCCCTCACTCCCTCACTCTGCCTCTTCTCTCCCTTGTCTCTTCTCTCTCTCCTAACCTTTTTTTAATCAGACTCCTCACCCAGAGCTTAATCTTTAAGGGGCAGGGGGCTTAAGTGAGCGTCTCCTCCGCATCTGCATCTGCCCCTGCAAGGAGCCCGCTTCTCAGGTAGACACAGAGGGGCCAGGGATGAGTCCCCCATCCGCTCGAGACAGGGGTGCTCCGCCGGGGGGGGGAGCGAGCGCACCTGCAGTGAGCTGCTGGAGGCGGCTTTCCATCGGGATGCAGAGTTCGTGGGGCTCAGAGAACGCCCTCCCCACCCCAGAGCCTGCGCCTGCTCATGTCCCTCCGTGGGGAGCAGACAGAGCCAGGCTTCAGAGTCCCACCTGGGCAGCCGCACACAGACTGCATTTCTTTCTCTTGGGGTTTTTGCACCTTGTGCCATCTTCACGGTGGTCAGGGCGGGGGAGGAAAGTTCCGGGGGGCCTTCGGGAAGATCGGGGTCTCATCTGTGTGCTCCGGGGAGGGGCGTGGAGCATGAACTTGGCCTCTCAGGAAGTCAGGGCCGGGAAATGCAGCAGAGCCAAGACCCCGCCTGACAGGACAGTGTGGCCCTCTGCAGCCTCCCCTGCTCCCTGGGCCTCCCGGCCACGAAAGGCTGTGCACACTGCCCCCTCCAAAGAGCCCAGGAGGCCTGCAGATGAAGCACCAGCCTGAGGACCTCCCGGATGGGTTCTCAGCTCCTACCCTCCAGGGACGCCGGCAGGGCCCTGTCCTCTCTGTAGGTCATCCTGCCTCCCCAGTAGGCCCGGGACCTCCCATCCTTGAGCCACAGAAAAGGACACGGGGGATGGTGTTCTTGTCTCCTAGAGAATGTTCTGGACAGCCACTAAGCACATGTCATCTCTGGGTCAGTAGGAAGCATATGAGCTTTTGGATCTCCTCATCTCAGGAAGGATGAAGTGATGAAGTTTGTATTTGGGGCCCATAAGGCAGAGTGTCAGAACCCTGGGCAGGCTTTGTGGAAAAGCAGATCAAACAGCTCTTCAGGGGAGGTGCTTCCCACTCCGTGTCAGGGAGGCAACGCTGGGGTGCCCCCTGTAGATCAGAGCAAGGGGGCGAGAGGTGGGGGACGCGACGGCATTCTGGAACGCTCTCCTGTCACCTGTGCTTGCAGGGAGAAGTGGTGCCACATGACCCAGGAGGAACGCAACGACAGTCTACGGTTCAATGAGAACATCACCTTCGGGCAGCTGGGGTGAGGGCACCACGACGACCCCACCCTGGGGGTCCCAACCGGGTGGGGCATTGGGGACGAGGGCCAGCCTGGGGTTCTCTCCTGCCGGAAGGCCTGTCCTCATGGCTTCCAGTTCCCCACGGACGCACCTCCTGTCCCCATGCCGGGTGGTGGGCCAAGGCGGCCGCCCTTCATTTCCACTTCTTACAGTTCCAGGCAGGCCCCCCTCCCCTGGTGCCCCCTCCCCAGGGAGGAAGAAGGGTGCCAGCTCACGGGTGTCTTTTTCTCCAGCACGTTCACTCACAACATGCTGGCGTTCGGGCTCAACAAGAAGCTGTGTAATGATTTCCTGAAGAAGCAGGCCGTGATCGGCAATCTGGACGAAGGTGAGCAGCGGCCAGAGGTGGCCGGGGCTCGGGGCTGAGGAACCAGTGGTCTGCCCCACCCTGCTCACAGGATTTCCATGGTTTTAATTAGAAACGTGATGCTGGGGGCGCCTGGGCAGCTCAGTTGGTTAAGCGGCTGCCTTCGGCTCAGGTCACGATCCCGGAGTCCCGGGATCGAGTCCCGCATCGGGCTCCCTGCTCAGCGGGGAGTCTGCTTCTCCCTCTGACCCTCCCCTCTCTCATGCTCTCTGTCTCATTCTCTCTCTCAAATAAATAAATAAAATCTTAAAAAAAAAAAAAAGAAACGTGATGCTGAACTATCGGGCAGGTTCACCCCTGCTCTGTTCCTGTCTCCCTATATGCACGGGACACTTCTCATTGTATTTGGAAGGCCCTTTCTGCTAGGTGGCATTTGCCAGGGGTCGGGGAGCTTCCCCCCTCCAGTGTTTCCAAATGGGACCAAAGGTAAAGAGGGGACTGGGTGCTCAGACTCTGAACTTGTAAATGGCCAAGCTCTGACCATGAGTTGCCCCTGCTTCTAAATGGCCTGCTTTGTTTCTTGAACCACAGTGCCGTGAGAGGTATGGGGGCCATGAGGTTTTTCTAGAGTCTCTGACTTCTTTAGTAAGAGCGGATACGTTACGTATCCGCCCCCCTAATCTACTACCGGAGCCAGCCTTTGTATGTCATCCCACCTGCTATAAAACAGCTTTCCCTCGTGGCGTAAAAAATCTTCCACTTAAACATACATTTGGATTGACACAGTATTCTTTCAAAAACAAAAAACAAAAAAAACCCTCCACCTGGGGCGCCTGGGTGGCTCTGTTGGTTAAGCGTCCGACTCTTGGTTTCGGCTCAGGTCGTGATCTCAGGGTCGGGGATGGAGCCCCGTGTCTGGCTCTGCGCTCAGCGGGGAGTCTGCTTGAGATGCTCTCTCTCCCTCTGTCCCTTCCCCCCCGCCAACCACCACTGCTAGCACTTTTTCTCTCTCAAATAAATAAATCAATCTTTTTTTAAGACCCTCCATCCTGCACCAAATTAAAAGGGGCCACAGAGGAGTGGCCTCGGGAGGCAGGAGAATGCTCGGTGCTTCCCTGGAAAATCGCAGAGTGCTGTCAGCAACCCCACAGTACCGGGCAAGAACACTGTCCCCTTGCCCGCCGGGGCCCCGTGCAGCTCGTAGGACTCAGGCCTGGCTCCCGTGCGTGGTTCATCTGCCGGCACTGTGCCTTCCCTGGGCTTCGCGTCCTTTCCGTAAGAAGATGCGTCCCAGGGGCGCCTGGGTGGCTCAGTCGGTTGAGCGACTGCCTTCGGCTCGGGTCATGATCCTGGAGTCCCGGGATCGAGTCCTGCATCGGGCTCCCTGCTCGGCGGGGGGTCT